ACAGGATAATCCACAGAGCAAAGTCAGGAGGCAGGTGCAGGTCCAGTCCACAGAATAATCCAACAGGAGTCGGAAGACAAGTCAGGCAAATAGATCAGACAGGGGCAGGCAGGCTCAATGGTCAAATACAGAAATAGGTCAGGATCAGTAAATCAGAACGCTATAAGTCTCAATAATAATATGACACTGATGACTGGGAGCAAGCAGCTTAAATAGAGGCAGAAGGAGGTGGCTCAGATAAGCAGTAATCAGAAACCGGGCAGAGTTAGACAGGTGAATGAAATGAGCAATTAAGTCAGAAATCAGTGCCAAGATCATGACAGAAGATGCTTCATAAACATTTAGAAAATCTGTTGTAACAATTAAGATTAGTATTCTTTGCAAGACATTTCTCTACAGGTCTCTTCATTTTAATGGTGCGACTCTGCAACAACTTAGTAACGTGAGACTTTTTTATAGGCCATTAATATTTATAAAACAATTTCAGATTAATTTGTACACATCAACAGTCTATATTTTCTAAACAGTGAAAGATTTCTGAGGTTTTTTTGTTTTGTTTTTATTTATTTATTTTTTTCAGTTTTTCATGGCTTTAGTTCATTTACTATTAAATTCAATAGAATTCCAAAAAGGGTCATTTATCATCTAATTTGGTTTGGTTTGTTTGTATTAGATATAACATTTTAATTACATTTTTACATTTTATTTCCATTTTTTTTCATTGGAATATATATAATTTTAAGCAACATGCAGTGATGAGGAATGTATTATAAACTCTCATTGTTTGCCCTTCATATTTCTGTGCAAATTCAGCCATCTTCTACTGCTTAACCATCAGGGTGTTTTGAAGTACATCTCCAAAAGTCTATTATTAAAAGGCAGGGTACGCCCTAAGCAGGTTGCCAATTCATCGCAGTGCATCACTAAGAGGCACAACCAAAAACACACACTCACTACTTGGGCCAATCTAAAGATACTAATCAAGCAAACAATTATAATTTAGGAATGTGGAAGGGAGCTTGAAACCCAGAGAGAACCCACACATTCAAGGTGAGAATCTTTAAACTCCATTCAGGAAAGAACCCAAGGCCAGGAATCAAACTCAGGTTCCTCTCGCTGCAAGGCAGTATTGCTTCAAACGGCTCCACAGCGCAGCCCCATTGCTGTAATCTATAGCTTGAAATAACAAGCAATACATTCTCAGCACCATGAAGAACACTCAGCTCCCTGTTGTGTGATATAGATCCAGCTTATATTTATGGTCAATAAAAGTTGCTGAAAAATTTTCTCACATATCTGAAACATAAGATATGAAATAAGACAGGGGATAGAATCTTGGTCAGTATTGACATTCTCCTCTATATAAATCTTCATAACCTGTAAGAAAAACAACATCTAAACCAGTAAAAAGTATTAGAATAATTCATTACAAAGTGGCAAAGGAGCCACTAGGATGTTTAAGTGTCACCTTCCTGAGGACCAATGCCCTATACATGAAGGTCCGGGTCATAACTCACACCAGGCGGTATAAATCACAAATAAACTAAAGGAGTCTCTGTGACACTGTTGCCTGAGGCTTGAGGAGCGATCATCTGCTACCGAACCTGAATAAAAGTGACATGTATGAGAAGGAAAGAATATTTGGATGCTGCAGACACTCTTCAGGCCAAAGGGTTATGGCTGAGCTTAGTCTGTTCCTGAAATACAGTCTGTATGGGTTGACAACATGGCATGCTAATAACTTAAGCATTATAAGCCTATTATTATCAACATGAATTGAATTGAATGTAACTGATTCGAAGACAATGCACTATTGGTAGTGAGTCTAACTTTTAGCTATAAAGAAATTAGCCAATGCGACCTAAATTTTGCAGGTTTATTATGCAGTAACAGATATTGAAGTGTTTGGTTTTTTTTACCTGAAAAGGCTATTTGTATAAATTTGTGCTTACTGTTTTATGTTATATAATCCACTTAATGAATGTATATATCTTCCTTTTTTTTAAAAACCAAAACCCTGTTATTTACAATCCATATTACAATCTAATTTTGATAACTTCATTCTTAGATTATAATCTGTACATAAGTGTCTTGGACAAATCTTGACCAATTGATTCTTGTTACATTAATGCTTTGAGTTGATCCCAGTGTTTTGGTGTCTGTTTATTCACTGCCTTTTTAAAAACTGATCAATCATATTTACTGTACTTACTTGGGTTTACTTGGAGACTTCTCAAGCCACAGGTCCATTGTATGATACTCTAATCTTTTGCTACTCTTAAACAATTTTCCCATTCCGACATGCATTTCCATTTTACAGCAAAATACTTTGAGTTTCAGCAAATACTTGTTGTACTTGCAGTCTTCTTGTATACAGATGTGTACAGTCAAAATAAATATTTAATTTCTTTCTTGAAAAATAGCCTCCTTGTTTTCCCTATCATTAGTCTCAAAAAGTCTTAATTTTCCTTTGAAACCCACTAGCCATAATTACTAATAAATATCTGCACTGTTTTGTATTGTACTTCCCTTGAAGAGGTGGGAATTCTTAGTTTAATGCAAATTAACATCTGGAATTGTAGTTCTTAAACACCTGGTAATTATTAGAAACATTGTAGATGCTTATCTCTTTTCAGCAATTTCAAGGGATTTTTTTTGCAATTTAAGGTTGATTTGATAAAATGGAAAAAATGACTGCAGGTTTTTTCTTTGAAGTTACTAATTGTTTCAAAGAAACCTGTCTCTGTTTTAAAGCAATCAGACTGCCCACAATACCTTGGGTAGCTGGAGATGTGTACTGTATTTCTTCAGCCTCAGATGGACTCATGAGAAAGGATCTACAATAAAATGAAGTTTCCTTATTATTTAATGCCAGATGGAGAACAAGATAGTCAGCAAAACATTTAAATGAGAAAATGTGCAAACGCTGAATTGTAAGAAAATAATGTCAATGGAGGATACACAACGAAAACTGCAAAGCTAGCAAAACAGTTTTCTGAAATTTCAGACTTTAACTCAAAAGTGGATGTTTGGTTTGGGGCCATGGAAACCTGTATGACCAATAAATAAACAAATGAACGAATGAATGAATGAATGAATGAATGAATGAATGAATGAATGAATGAATGAATGAATGAATGAATGAATGCATGAATGAATGAATGAGTAGGAATTTATTTCAGATGGACAATTTGACAAACAACAATTAATGAATCAACCAAATACACACAAAAATACAAATTAAAATCAACCAAACCACACACTAATTTCAAAACTAACTAAATTCAACAGAAGATAAATAGAAAAAAAAAACTATATGTTCTTTTTTCCTGATGTTGCAGTCAGTTGGTATTGCTATGTCAACCACAAAGGCTTTGCTCTGCTTTTTGTCCACCACCACAATGTCCGATTGGTTTTCCATTACCATTCGGTCTGTCTGTATCTGGAAGTCCAACAGGATGCTGGCTCGGTTATTCTCTACCATCTTTGGGGGTGTTTCTCACTTTGACCATGGGGTTTTCAGCCCATACTTTGCACAAATGTTCTTGTACACTATTCGTTTACATATATTTACATATATATATATATATACCGGTATATATATATATATATATATATATATATATATATATATATATATATATATATATGAGTAAATTCATCTACATATGTACACGTAAACGAACATACATACCTATACAAACACATCTGGCCAAAGTCCATATTTACACCCTTATTCATCTTCACTCAGAGTACTATCCCCCCCCCCAAAAAAAAAATTAAACATTAATCAACCCACAGCGACATTTACATGCCCTTCTCATTAAAGTATGCCTTAAAAAACAAATCAGATTGCCTCTTTTTTACAGACCTTCACACCACTGACTGAAATGCACATTCTCTTCATGGTGGTTTGAATCCTCAAAGTTCTGAAGTTAAGGTTCTCCTTGTAGTCATATCAAACCATATCTTAAGTCGACATAACTAAAGGCTATATCAGCCATAAGTTCATCCAAATTATCACCTGTACAAAAGATGTTAGAATCATCTGCAAACAAAACAAATTGAAGTTTAGAAACTTTGCAGATGATATAAAGGATAAATAATTTTGGCCCCAGTACTGACCCCTGGGTTCACCACAAACAATGTCCAAGCATGATGATTGGCAGTCACCCATTTGCACAAATTGTTGCCTGTTGCTTAGATAACTTTTCATTCAGAGAAGTACAACTCCCTGGATGCTACAGTATAATGCTCCAATGTCAAAAGCTTTTTTGAGATCAATAAATACACCAACTGAAGATTGTTATCTAAGGCGCTGGTGACTTCTGTCAATTCAATTAACCATAAGTTTAGTAGTTATACCAAAAGTTTCTGAGCTGAGTTAGGTATTACCAATCATCATCACATTTCTCCCCTTTTAGTGTCACAAAATTTAGTTTACAGTATTAATTTATTTTCTGACTTTAAATATATTGAATGACAAAGTGATATTTGCATTTCTAAATATGATATTTTTAAGGTGACATAATCACAAATATAAATGTTCAAATAGGTGGTTTTATATAAACTCTTCATGACAAGCATGCTCAGTGCAGTTGATGTGCCCATGAGTCAGCTCCTCCTGCTCCTGGAGGCCTTAATGTTTTGTAGGTGACCCTATACTTGAAATGTGGCATTCCCTTCTGTCAACTCTAATGAGCAGGGGTCTGTTCAGACAATCCTCCTCACATGAGGATAAGCATTAGGTCCTTTGGTGACATCTACTGTTTAAACCAGGTTGTTACATTTTAGTTTAAAAATCTGCCTAGTTAGATGCCTTTAGTATAGACTTGATATTAAATAAAATGACACATTTGGGGTAATATTATTAATTATATATATATATATATATATATATATATAATTAAT